ACGGTTTTATTGGCATACTAATGAAACAGATCTGATAGCTCCGCATTGTGGCATGACAAATTGACAAGGATAAAATCGGCAATAGAGGGGCAAGCAATAGCATGGTAAACCATGTTTAGCTAGTGGCATCACGCACTTATCATGAGTATAATGATCCGGAGTGTTACCAAAAAAAATCAGTATTCTCGAAATGAGTGCAATACACCGTTTCTAACCGATGTGTATATGCACTGTCAAGTATATTCACACTTAAGAGCCGATAAAAACGAAAAGACAAGCCACGCTTTAAGAGGTACACATGCGAAAGGGAACGATCAAACGCACAGCGATGTAACTTCCAGCATGATTCGTTAGTCGGGCAACGAACGACAAGAACAAGGTGGTTAATCTTATAACACTCAGACAATCAACGTCGATCGGGGCAGCATCAACGCAGAAATCATAAAAAGAGGATAACAATGAACAGTGACAACGAAGATACTACAGTGGCCGAAATCCATGGCAGTGACTGTGTCGGTAACGAGTACATGGCAAAGTGAGTGAAATTCTGACAAAAACTGGGTGACATATATAGCCATCGGCACATGTACATATACAGAGTCATGATCTTTGGTCTATTCGAATCGTAAGATGAAAACAAACGCGAACAGAAAACAGCCAAATGAGAAATTAGTTCACACGAAATTCAGTTCCTTCCAATGAAAAAGGAACAGGCAAATAATCGAGTAGATGAGTGTTAAGAAGTGCATTGCACCTGCCGAATCAAGCAGTTGTCACAGCAACAGTACCAAATGAAAAGACAACCAATAGCAATTTCTCTGAATGGTGCTATCGATCGATCGATCGATCAGGTGATTCAAGATATGGCACCACATTCTCATATGGGAGAGTCGGAAAATAAATAGCCTGTGCATGTCTCACTGAAGTAAGTAAGCATAATGGGGGAAATAAATGGTTAAACAAAACGACATGTTTCAGGAACTTATGCGGAAGAACGGTATGTGCGAGAACACCAACAAAACTTGTGCCAGGGAACCTATTTGCAATAATGATATCATGCTTATACAAAACCATAATAGAAATCATACCTCAGAACCCGATAATACACTCTTGCTTGAAAGTGTTCCATTTCCCGAGCATATTCCGTTTGCGGTGGATGTTGACAAGAGGGTGGTCGCTCGAGAACCGGCGCTCAGATGCTGGCCCAATGTGACGGGATCACCGGTCATGGACGCCTTTGCAGAGGATGTCGTCACCAACAAACCGGAACCGGGAACCGTTTGTTGTTGCTGTTGAAGAGCAGCGGCAGCTGCGAGAAGAGCCGAAGTGTTGAGCGCATTTGGGTCAGATCCGGCAGCGGCAAACGATAGTGGTAGGGTGGCACCACCTAACTGAGTGAGTCCCATTGAAAGTGGTTGATTCCCGGGGGTGAGATAGGCACC